CTCCTCGTACGGCTTCCCTTCTAAACCCTTTGCCATCTTTGTGGCTCTCCTCTGGACACTCTCTATAGCTTCATATCCTTTTTGTACTGTGGTGCCCAAAACTGCACACAGTACTCAAGGTGAGGCCGCACCAGTGCAGGGTAGAGCAGGACAATCGCCTCCCTTGATCGGCTAGCAATACAGTGCTTGATGTGCTATGTATTATACTATGCTGTATGCACTATGTATGAAGCATCCTTGCTCCAAGGAAAGCTGAGGTCTGGTCTGGCTCATCCAGCAACAATTGCTTTGTTGGGAGCCTTTTCACTTCTCAGTAAAAGTAAATGAGCTGGCAGTATCAGATCGCTACAACTCAGTACTGGTTTTTGGATGTGATTTATCTTGGCAACCCGACTGTATCACTTGTGGTGTGTTGCTGAAATGTAATTAGGGTGTGTGGTTCCTGCCCCCTTGTTTGAGGGTGGGAAGAGGAAAGGTTGCTTTGTAGCCCTTGTTCATGGCTCTGCAGAAGAGTTGCCTTTCTTTCTGCTTTCTCTCCGCCTTTCCTGGGAAAAGCTAGCAGAGGCAAAAATGTACCACATAACTGCAAACAGGTAACAAAATCAACCACTGATAAAAGCAAATGCTTCCGAATTGAAGTTCCCTCCAAGAATTCAAGATACAGTAATAGGCTCTTTGTTTCCTTCTGTGCTAGCCTACTGAGCAGAAAGCTTCAGTTAAGAAATATGCTTAGGAGAAAGGGGGGGAAAAAAAATTCAATATTAGTTTTAAAAAGGTAAGAACCTGAAGAGTAGTTATTCTAGCCATTTGAACTGTCTAAAACTAACAATAATGCGTTTTTACATGTTCTTGCTTTTAATAAGCTTCCTCAAGAGGACAAGGTAAAGCCACACTAAGCTATGGGACTTAAGGCCTCTGCAGAATTTTATGTCCATGAGGACTTAGTTAATTACATAGCTTCCAAGATCAGTTTTCAGTCAATTGTCTAAGTAGGTATTTAGAACACAGAAAACACCTGCTATTTTAAAAGTACTTTACAGAATCATGCACAGGGCTGAGAAATTTGAATAATAAAACTCTAGGGCATGAAAATTAAATGCAATAAATCTAACTAAGTCCTTAGGTAAAATTATGTAGGCATAGCTGGTGTTGTTTGTAATGTTATTTTGGAAATATTTTGCTCAGTTATTTGTATCACTGTAGACATCATGCATTGTAGCTAATGCTGTTTATTAACAGATACTGTATTTGTCACTTAATTTTCCTTAATGAAAACTGTATTTTGTAATCAATGTGTCACTGAAATATGAACATTTTAGAGCATATAGCTGCTGTTCTCCATGAGGTGAAGAAATAATATGAAATGGCTGTAACATTGGTGTTACTGTATTAAGTGAACTAGATAAATGTAATTAGATGCTTTGTTAATAAGGATAAACTTACTATCATAAGTCATTGGCTTCTGAGGATTGAAAAGTTCATGTTAAATTGTGAAAAATGTTACTCAGCCTAGATGTGGGCAGCTCTAGAACAAAGATAGAAGGTTATGGATAAGTTGAGCAATGTGGTTTTAACAAAGGCATACTAATTAGGAGGTGTACTTCTACCTGTCATGAGCATGGCAATATAACCACATCATGACAAAATATGAACAGATTTTTGTAACTTGGCTAAGCAGGTCTGCTCTTCTGTTTTCTCAAGCAGATGATATAGGCTGAATTAGCTTTTGTGATTTGGTATATTGCTGGCTTTTTCCTTTTTTTTTTTTTTTAAGGAAGTGCAAGTATTTACGTTTTGAAGAACTCTTTAAGGCACCTTTATAGATCAATGCTGATACTGCTTTCCCTTCTGCATGATAGTACATTTTACAGGACTGGTTGTTTTGTGTGTACTAAAACCATAAGCTAATATTTCCTTAAAGCGTATTTTCTACAAGAGCTGGTATAGAAATTATTTTCTGAGTAATACATAAATTGCCTTGGATATTGTTTCCTCTTGAAGAAAAATTGTGGAGAATATTAAACAAGTTGTACATGCTCAGGTGCTTTCCTATTTCTTTCTGTCATTAAAATGCTTCCTTTAAGATGGGTTGTCTTTGCTCACCAGTTTTCTTGAACCTGGGCATTCAAAGCTGCATCTTAAAGTGCAATTTCCAAAATACTACCTACAGTACCTCTGTATAAATGACTGAGTTTGTACCTAGTCCCACTTCTCTGCAAATGGGGTAGATAAGGTCATGAATTTAGAAGTAAAGTGCTAAAACTTTGTACTTGCAAGAAGATAGGAAGGAACTCGTACATTCACACATTATGCCTAAACTATGCACCATCCTTGGGTAAAATGGTGTAAGAATGTTGTCCCTCCAATTTACCTAGAAGCTGTCAGATGACTAATGACCATGACTGATATTTAAGCTGTTAACAACTAACCTGTGGGTTCTTCCTCCCCTGCCCCCCAATGTATTGATTTGAGTTCCTGTCATGGTACTCTGGTGAGACTCAGTACTGCTCCTGGTGCAGAAATTATGCAGGTGCCACTGTGCAAATAATTTGAGTTCAGAAAGAGAGTGGAGGGATTGTGACTGGCACCACTGCTAGATGGAAGAATGAAGTGGAAGTTGGATTAATAGATGAATATGGCAAGAATAAGGAGGGGAGTCAACATTATCATGACATACCAATTTATAAAAATGATTACAAAGTGTAACAGACTAGAAACACTAGGTTTCTAAAGGGAATTTATTGGAGAAAAAGAAAGCTTCATTCACCACAATATTGAGAATTAACACAAGAAAACTCAATATATCTTGCTGCTAACTGTTGAAGGCAGAAGTGCTTATGAGAAAGGAAACACAAGAGAATAAAAGGTTTATTCTGTCATATATTTCTGAATGCTAGAACAAGAGGAAAAGATTAAGGAGAAGATGGTAGGAAATGTTTTGAAAAATAACTTGGGTGTTAATGATTTTTTTAAACAAACAAAAAACCGCCACAAAAAACCTGTTGATTTTGCTGGGTTTTGGATCAGGTTCGTGGAAAATAGGTGAATTTAGGACCTTACATGACTTTTCTAATGTTGTTTAGTGATTTATGCATGCATATACTTTAAAATGATTTTAAATAACTGTAACTGAGTGATAAGAATTTCCAAAACAGCAGAATGTTTATACTCAGAATTATGTTGGTATAGAGGCTGTAATTGAGAGTAAAAGGAGTATGGAGAAGGGCACAGAGGACAGTGTTTGGATAGGCATTTTGGCTTAATTGGCTTAAAATCTGCCTGCTGTCTTTGGGCATAATGTACTTTGATGCTCCTTTGCTGGAGTCTTGAGCAGAGTGACTGTACTTTTTACTTTACAATGGTGTTTTTTGGTAGCTTTGTAGTAAGCCAATATGAAGCAGTGAGCTGAATAAAAATGGTACATTTACTGATAGACTGTGAAGAGATTTTTAAGGTTTCTTGGTTATAGCTGCTGATTTTTTTTTTTTTTGTTCTTTCTGAAAGGCATCTGGAATGGCAGTTTCTAATGCTTCATCTACTACGATATCGTTATCTTGGCACAGGAGACTTCATGGTATGAAATGTGGACCATCTAGTAAGTTATCTATGTTTTTACATGAAACAACTTCAATTGTCTGTTATATTCTGCATAATTTAATTATTTTTATGAAGAAAAAAAAAAACTAAAATAGCTGATACAGGCCTTCAGGGTAAAGGAGCTGTACCTTGATTGGTCTCAAAGGACTACAGTAGTATGACCGTTTATCATGGGGTTTGACCTAGCTTTAAGTTTACATCTGGTTCTGCTTTGATCATTTGAAAGACTGTGTCTAACTGCAGTTTTTCTAATGAAGAGCTTTCAGCAGGGCAATCTGCTCTTGTAGTGACATACCTAAAGATGTAGATTTCTGCCTAGATACCATTAAATTACCTGTCCTGTATTTCTTCTGTGCTTGGAGGTTTTCTGTTTGTTACTTTTTTGCTGAGGTAATCTATGGATGCTTTTTGTGTGTGTAATCTATGGGTTAGCAATATGAGGTACTGTTAGGCACCGGCTTGCTGTGGTGGTCATTTGCTTGAGGAATTTGCATCATGTCTTTTTTGATTTATCTTATTTTCATCAATGGACAGGCTTAAATCTCTTTGCTCAAGGGTAGAGATCCTCTGTGTTAGCTCTTTTGTAGAGCCTGTGTCATGCTTGTCTTGTAGAAAGGAGAAACATGAGGCAAAATAACTCAGAGTAATTTCAGTTAGTGATGCAAAACCTCTAGCTTCGCTTCAGTCAGCCTGATTTGTTGCATTGGACATGGGAGCTACGCATACTGAATAGTCTGGGTTTGCATCCCCTGGCTTTATAGCACAAAATGCAAGACTGATGTGTGGACTGGACTCTTATCAATTGTGATTAGGGTTGTGTCATCTCCAAAAGCTTTTTATTTCTGTAATACATACGGTTTTCAGAAGCTTTTGAGAAGTGCGTAGCTGAATGTGGAAAAATAGTAGAAGGGCTTAGAGAAGCATAATATTACTCAAATAAAAACTGTTACTTATGAACTTCTCCAATATATGAAAAATATCAGAGAGAGAGAGTATATGATAAAATTTCTCTACAAATATAGCACTCTATACCAGTAAAACTCCCTCTGCTTTTGAGGGGTTATACCAGCTTATTGACTAAGTAGTAGTTCTTTTCTTAGCTCTATTTTTTTTTTTAACTGAATAAAGCAGCTTCCAAAGAGAAGATGTGCAAATTGTGCTGAGAAATTAGTTGCCATAATAATTTTTTGGTTCCCTGGGTTTACTTTTTTGCCAAGTGAAAATTCCTTTAATGGGACTAGTGGATTTCATGTTCTGCTTCAGAACAACTAGCTAGAAAAAAGACTTCTAAGATGTATTGTCCTGTTTTAACAGAACTCTCGAAAAAGGTTTATGTGTAAGTTTTTCTTCTTAAATAGGCCTAATATTTAAGAAAGGGAAGAACAAATCTGGAAGGAGGGAGAATGAAATGGGTAGCAAGTATCTCATGCTAACTCATCATGTGTCTAAGCTTTTAAAGGAGGATGTAGTTATGATGGCAAGAATTAGGTTTCATTGCCTTCTCCAGATGTAATGGGTTAAACTTCCTGGTTTCTTTCTAACTCATGTTTCTATGGGGCAAAAATATTTCATAAGGATTTTATATTTCTGATGTACTTACTTCGGCAAGACAATGTTGTTGGAGACATGCTTTAAAAATTATTGATTGCCCATACTTGAAGGCAAATAAAATCAGGATTATTAAACTCTTTAAACAGTGGAACACCTAGACTTGGAAGTTTCCTTTTTAAATCCCAGTAAACTCTGTGTGGGAAATGGAATCCATTGTTGTCTGTGTGCAAAAGACATATTAAAAACAAAGCGAAAGAACAACCTGATCTGCTTTGTGCAAGAGTTTTGGTAACATGCTCTAAATGCTTAAACAATAGTTTCATTTTGGCCTTCCTATTTGGAGAGATGCAAGCCGCTATAGCTCTGCCCATGGACTGGGATTTGCACCAGTCTGGGGATATATGAAATAGAAAAGCTTTTTTTTCTTTTTTTTTTTTTTAAAACCAGCAAGGTACGTTATCGTTTTTTTTCCAGTTTAGTGATGTCTTTATGAAAATTATTCTGCGACATACTTAGAAAACTGACTATAACAGACTTATATATATTTCATCCTATTACAGCGAATACTTGTTGCAATAACATTTTTTTCTTGCTTCCTGTAACTCTGTATATATAGATAACCAACATGTTTTATGTGGAATTTGTATGATGGGTGCATGATTTATTGTGCAATGCATCTCTTTACCTTTGTGTTTTATTAGTCAACTGAAAGCAGTTTAGAAAGCAATGTAATGTCTTACATGTCAATGGAACGAAAAAAGTTGGTATAGTACAAGTAAATGCCAAGAGATAAAATCTTGTATTAGTTTCTTGTACCTAGGGAATATGGGATTTGAGTTTTGAAATGTTTATCGGAGTAATTGACAGCAATTAACATGTAGTTTACATAGCTGTTAAACATGTAACTTCCTTCCACACAAATCTGTTTTTTTCATGGAAAGTTTAAAAAGACCAAAACAAACAACAACACAAACAAAAAAACCTCCAGGGCTAATGCATATTAGGAACCTGACACAGGCAAAACAAATTATTTCTGGAAGTAAGTTTCAAACTACTGCTGAAAATTCCTACTAGGCTAAACACGTCAAATTTTCTTGTGTTGAAATGGTGTAGCAGGCATGAGTCTTTAATGTTTGAAGTCACTGTTGCTATAGAAGATACTTGTCCCTTACAATATGTATGCTGATTTCAAGAGATGCACCAGAGCAGAAAATCTGCAGCTAACTGGGAGGCTCTTAGTATTGAAGGATTATAAATTGCATCCTACTCATTCACCTCAGAATCTTAACAAGGAAAATTTTACATCCTGGTGTAATGAGATCTTTGTCCTCATCTCAAGGTTGTATTGCATCCTGTTGAAGCCTGTATGCCACAAAAAACTTGTGCTGTTACAGGCAGATGTTTTCAAAGACTGTGAAGTTGAAGGATAAAAGATAATGCAAGAAATGTGTTGTATTAGTTGTCCCATAGTCAAAAGGACAGCTGAAAGCTTTCTAGAGAAAGTGTGCAATGGAAATTATGCAGAGTTACAAAATATAAAACTTAAGAATGTTGACAGCAAAAGTTTTAAATATTCAGTTTTAAGCATACCTTCTACTCTTTTGTGCATGGCTATAGGCCTAGTTGATGTTTCTTGCAAATTCTCATCCCAAGCTGCTTTGTTTTTTCACTTTTCCATTTCAGAATAAAATTTGCTGATTTTTAAATAATTGATCTTTTTAGTAGTTTGATAACCTTCAGGCAGACCCCTCCTCTACACTTGCATAAAGCTTTTAAAATATGTCATCTTTTAAAGTATCCTGAAAACTAGAAAGTCTCTGACTATTTCTGTAAATGACTCTCTGGAGCTCTGAAACTGTTTGGGCCAAAGTTGGTAAATGGGCAGAATCATAAGAACAGAGGGAACAGGCTGGACCTGGTACCTACCTAGCTTACGTAAAAACTTGATCACTTTCAGATCTCTAATCTTTCATGCCTCAACTTTTCTGTCCAAGTGTATCTAATGAGTATCTTGAAAGAAAATGTATCTTCAATGATTTGCATTAAACAAATTTTTCATGCCATGTCTTAAAGCAATAACAAAATACAGAATTCCAACACTAGTAAGTGCTTAATGTTTTACAGAAAAATACCCATAGGAAGGTCCACATCAGTCACAACTCTTCAAGAATTAATAGTGTATTGATGATAATGGTGTATTACAATGCGGTCAAAATTCAGTTGGAGCAACTGGCTTGATGTGATGGTTAAAACAAAAAAATCAAACATTTCAAGGTTGATGTGTGTGGTAATTTGAGTAGTCAGACATGTTCTTGAATGTGTTGGCTTGCTTTTGTGAAAAAACTTTAATTAAGATGTCACTTTGATATAGTATCTTAACTTTTGTATGGGATACAGATACATGCTTTCTTTGCAGTTGTCTCTTTGCTCCAGGACTAGAGCTGTTTAGTGACTGTATCTCACTAATTTATATGTGAAGCCCTTCAGCACGAACTCTCAGCTGTACTTATTTTATTCCTAATAAATATGTTAGAAGATTGGAAGAACAAATAATCAAACAAGGTAGATTTACAGTCTCACTTTTTCAAAGGCTGTGATAAATAATGGGCATGAGGTTCTGCTGCTGCTTACAGGATGCTAGCTCTGGCCTGAAGGCTGTCACTGCCTGACACTGAAGAATTAAGAAGGGGGATGAACTAAACGGAGGTCCAGGTGCCCAAGGGACTAAAATAACCCTATCCACATACTGAGTGGGGTCGCAGCCTATTCAGTAATGACCAAGTGGTTAGAATATTTAAGCAATGAGAGGAGCAGAGAAGAATTCAGACCTGTGTTATAGGATGATCCCAAGTCTTCACCCTGTTCAATGAAGAAGGAATTTGAGATTAATTGCTTCATGGCAACAATGGTCATATCAGAGTGACTTGCAGGTTGTAATGGCATCAGTGGTTAAAAATCACATTGTTCCATAGGCCTACCACGTTCTTCTAGAAAAGTCTCACCAGTTTTCGATTTCAGATTCCAACCCAATGCACTCAACTGGCATAATGTCAAAGGAAAAAGAAGAGCTAAGGATTTTTTTTAAGAGGTCACTTTCAGGTAAACAAAGGACAATATTCTTCTGTAACCTTTCCTAATTTTAACCTTCACTTAGTCTTGATGTTTATGCCCTTTCTGCAGGTGTTACTATGTTTCTCATGTCCCTAGGAGGGACCTAAGCTTATGATAAAGTGACATGGGTTAGCGTATTTAGGGAGCTTATATTCCTTTAATGACAAAGATCAGAGTGAACCTTTTGCTATAGGATGTATATTCTGGATACCTGAGGAAGTATTTCTGTGTTAACTGAGCAAATTGGATGATTAAAGGAGGCCACGTTATTTGCAGTAGTAAGATCACTAAATGTGATCTGAATCAACGCTATTTCTCTCATTACCTGGTTAAGGATAACTAATGTTTGCACACAGAGCTATTTTATGCAGTGTAAGGAAAGATACTATAGTTATGTAAAAAGGGATGTAAGCAAATACAAGAGCTACATTTATCATGTTTTCTTAGAATCATACGTGCACAGACAGAAGAGAACTTCATAAAGAGGAAAATGCTCATCATTGAGTCATTTGACTTCCAATTCAGATTTGACTAACTCCCTTTCTCTAAAAGGGAGCAAGGGAGATTCTTCGCAGTGACAGCAAGGGTCCCCAGATCAGCTGACTGTGTGCACAATCTGAATAAATGTGGCTCAAAGCAGGTTACCTGAGCCATGCTTAAAGGGGAATCGTTCAACCTGAAACATCAAAAGGGGTATAACTTCCTCTACAGCTAAGAGGAACATGACTTGCAGTCTAATTGCAGATTATTGTAACTGGACAGGGCATAATCTTAGAGAAGCAAAGAACAGAGACCTGAGCTCTAGTTACATGGGTCTTGCAACAGTCAAGATGAAAGAGATCAATGTCTGTCTCTCTTGACAAGAGGAATAAGGCTTTTGCATTAGTGACAAGATTGGTCACTGTGAGTATGTAAATGAGATAGCTCAGTCGGAATAAGTAGGGACCTTTCTACATGGTGCTTGCCTTAGTTTTTAAATTGAACTCATGCTGGCCAGGCAGGGAAAGGACCTAGATATTTGGGCTAGCTAGGCTTGGAGCATTCTGTTTTACCTTGCCTATCTGCCTTGTTCTTTTCAGCATGGCATCCTTTTTCTTTTTTTTTTTTTTTTTTTTGAGGGGGTGGGGTGTGTGTGTGAAAAAATATAAGATGTTGGTAGGAAATTGGTGTTGGTAAAATATCAATAAAATGAGCTTCTAGAAGAGGGGAGAAAAATTAGGTAGGGAGAAAATGCTTTATAATTGATTTATTTTTCTGTTCCTATTGCTGGAATCAAGAATTCAGCATCGATTCAACGGCAGTAAGATGTCAATGATCAACTCTTGACTTGTTTGAAAGCATTTGTTTCCTTGCCATCAGTTTATGAAAAAGCATTTCAACCATTCTGTGAAGTAGTTCAGAATCTACTTTTGATGTTGGTGCTTTTCATGTATGTTTAGTGAATTCCAATAGTGAGAACAAAACCTAAAGATGGTGTGACCCGTGAAATCATAAAACAGTGGTCCGTATCCTAGAAGGCTTTCCTCTGAAGTCTAATTCTGTCAAGACTAAATCAATTGCAGAGTTTATTTGGATTGTCAGAAATGGAGCTTGCTTTATTTTGCCTGCATCAGCAAAACTTCAGACCCTCTTTAGCAAAGTTTTCTCAAAAGCCTGAAGGTAATCTAGGTATGTTCAGACTTCTGTGTATACTACTGATGATTAGATATTTCATAAACAAGGGTTTTACCAAAATGGGAGAAAAGATCTTTTTCTGTGAATTCTGGTTTTCAGGACAGCACTTAAATTCATATGTAAGATTGTTTCTCAAGAATTATGTTGTTTATAAAGATAAAGAAAACAAGAAAGCTGAGTCTTCAGTTTGTCTCTTCCTGAATTAGTTTCTTCTGAGCAGATTGTCTGCAACAAATACAGACTCGGTTTCTGTTCTCCAAACAGAAAAATTACTGTGATTGCTTAATACTCAATTATTAAAATTCAAATGCTTTCCTAAAGAGACTTAAACTTTAAAAGATCGAATATTAGCAAAATAAGTGAATATATCACAATTGTTACAAAAGCATTTGATCACAAAGTCTAAATTCAGTAGCAAGAAGCTTCATTTCTGCTTGTGCACATCTTTCCTTAGACTGTGAATACTTGTTTTGTCAGATTTTGATGGAGATCTTCTCAGGGAAAATAAAAAGTAAAAAAAGCCAATGCCTCTCCCTCCCCCAAACCCGAACTTCTCATTGCAAGTTAGGGAGCTTGCTTTCTCTACAGTAGGCTTAAGCATTAAATTTTTCCTTTCTTAAAAGTTTGTCTCTAGAAACCAGAAATGAGCAGTGGTCTGTGTCTTTATGGAATGTGTTTGTGGTTTGATATACTTAAAAGTTGTAAGATGGAAGGAGGGTGGGCAGCTGAAAGATTTACACCTGAGATATCAACATCTGTATTTCTAGGGTAGCATGCTCTCATCCAGGTAGAGCTTATCCATACCGTGTTATTTGTAGCAGTCTTTTATATAAGCATATAGGCACCGTGCTTTTTTGTTGTGTAATACTTGTTCGCTTACTCTATTAGTTGCTTAGGGGACTAAAAATGTGTCGGACTAACAGATATAACAGCCGTTTTGATTTGGCTTCTCTAAAGGTGCAATAGATTTACTTCATCTGGTTGTGTTTCTTGAGGTGAAGCTTTTGCAGTATGTTTCCTGTTTCTGGAGGCCTGTGGGATTCTCCTGGACATTTAAATGCTAAGCCAGCATATCCTATCATTCATGGAATCATAGAATCATTTAGGTTGGAAAAGACCTTTAAGATCATGAAGTCCAACTGTTAACCTAACACTGCTAAACCGTGTCCCTAAGCACCACATCTACCCGTCTTTTAAATACCTCCAGGGATGGGGACTCAACCACTTCCCTGTACTTGGGAGAAGAGACCGACCCCCACCTCGCTACAACCTCCTTTCAGGTAGTTGTAGAGAGTGATAAGGTCTCCCCTTCAGCCTCCTTTTCGCTAGGCTAAACAACCCCAGCTCCCTCAGCTGCTCCTTATAGCACTTGTGCTCTAGGCCCTTCACCAGCTTCGTTGCTCTTTGTTGCTCCAGCACCTCAATGTCCTTCTTGTAGTGAGGGGCCCAAAACTGAACATAGTACTCGAGGTGCTGCCTCACCAGTGCCAAGTACAGGGGGACAATCACTTCCCTGGTCCTGCTGGCCACACTATTCCTGATACAAGCCAGGATGCTATTGGCCTTCTTGGCCACACTGCTGGCTCATATTCAGCAGGCTGTTGACCAACACCCCCAGGTTGTTTTCTGCTGGGCAGCTTTCTAGCCACTCTTCCCCAAGCCTGTAGTGTTGCATGGGGTTGCTGTGACCCAAGTGCAGGACCTGGTACTTAGCCTTGTTGAACCTCACACAGCTGGCCTTGACCCATCGATCCAGCCTGTGCAGATCCCTCTGTAGAGCCTTTCTACTCTCCAGCAGATCAACACTCCTGCCCAACTTGGTGTGGTCTGCAAACTTACTGAGGGTGCACTTGATCCCCTCGTCCAGATCATTGGTAAAGGCATTAAACAGGACTGGCCCCAGTACTGAGCCCGAACACCACTTGTGACCGGCTGCCAACTGAATTTCACTCCATTTACCACCACTCTTTGGGGCTGGCTATCCAGCCTTTTTTTTTACCCAGCAAAGAGTACACCCATCCAAGCCATGAGCAGCCAGTGTCTCCAGGAGAATGCTGTGGGAAATGGTGTCAAAGGCTTTACTAAAGTGCAGGTAGACAACATCCACAGCCTTTCCCTCATCCACTAAGCAGGTCACCTTGTCATAAAGGAGATCAGGCTAGTTAAGCAGGACCTGCCTTTCATAAACCCATGTTGACTGGGCCTGATCCCCTGGTTGTCCTGTACGTGCTGTGTGATGGCAGTCAAGATGATCTGCTCCATAACCTTCCCTGGCAGGGGAGGTCAGGCTGACAGGCCTGTAGTTCCCTGGATCCTCCTTCTGGCCCTTCTTGTTGATAGGCGTCACATTTGCTAACCTCCAGTCAACTGGGACCTTCCTGGTTAGCCAGGACTGCTGATAAATGATGGAAAGTAGCTTGGTAAGCACTTCCCTCAGCTCCCTCAGTACTCTTGGGTGGATCCCATCTGGCCTCATAGACTTGTTTGTGTGTCTAGGGTGGTGTAGCAGATCACTAACCATTTCCCCATAGATTATGGGGGCTTCATTCTGCTCCCTGGCCCTGTCTTCCAGCTCAGGGGACTGGTACCCAGAGAACAACTGGTCTGACTATTAAAGACTGAGGCAAAGAAGGTATTAAGTACCTCAGCCTTCTCCTTGCCCTTTGTCACTGTGTTTCCCCCTGCATCCAATAAAGGATGGAGATTCTCCTTAGCCCTCCTTTTGTTGCTAATGTATTTGTAGAAACATTTTTATTTTCTTTTATGGCAGTAGCAGTAGCCAGATTAAATTCTGGTTGGGCTTTGGCCCTTCTAATCTTCACCCTGCATAACCTCATGGAATTACATTCAGTGACAGAACTGGGTCTTAAGAATGAAAATTATCATAATTTATGTTTAACATGCCTTGTTTTTTCCACTCAGGTTCATTTACATGTTTTAATGGAGGTGAGTGTGTCTACAGAGAGCTGTGCAACTGCAGTCGATTTAATGCAACTGGACCAAGATGCCAGACAGGTGTGTAAAGAGAGAAAACTAACTGGGTTTCTGGGATTGTATTCAGGTTCCCACCAGTACGAGAATGACTACCCTCTGTTTAAAGGGTCCTTCGTGCCCTAGTATTTTTTCCTCTCTTTTCTGTGGTGATATTTCATAGCATACCACATACATACATCTCAACTACAGATTGAATCCCGAAACCAGTTGTACTTCTCAAGTGACTCTCCTTTTGTTAGTGTATAATACAGGTGCTGAAAGAGATCATATATGCAGAACATGGGGTCAGTATAATTTCGAAACTTTTGATGGACTCTATTACTATTTTTCTGGGAAATCCACATATGTGCTTGTGAGGCATACTGAATTAGATGAACAGAGTTTTTCGATACAGGTAGGGGACTACACTTCTATGTTCCTTTTAACTGTTGTTGAGCTTGCTAATAATGCATTAATATTTAGAGATTAAAAATAACTTGTAATGATAGTATGGGGTTCTAGAATGTAATCTAGATGTAATTCTGATGTAATGTGGGCTACCAGTTACTATAGCACAATAGGTAAATAGCTGGAAGGAAACTGATGTGTGTACTTTCAAAACTTGCTGCTGCTGTGAAAATACTGCTCTAAAAAGAGTGCTAATTGTACTCAGTTTTTTGGGAAGAGTGGGACCAAATTACTTGTTCATGTGCTGAGGGTGGGATTGAGAGCATTAGTTGTGTAACATGGGTTACGAAGAGTTTGATTAAAATCTTGACTTTGACGCTAGTCATTTTATTTGGCAGGTGAATAATGATCCTGAGTGCCATTCTTCTCCTTACTCCTGCAAAAGGTCCATTAGTTTATTCTTTTCTGGAGATGAACAGATAAAGATGAGCAATGAAGTCACCTATAAAGGATTTGGGTAATTGCAGTCATGTTTCTGATGCTGTAGTTACACTGGAACTAATCTCATGATACCGATTTGATAACAGAGATGTAAACTAGATCACTTATTTGCTGGTAGCTTTAAGAAAAAAAAACAACTATCCATACTACAGCTGTAGTAATTACTTCCTATCTACAGAGTAGTAATTACTTCCTATCTACAGAGTAGTGTCTGAGGGAAGGTGATATCTAAACGAGTGGTACATAGTATTAAGAAGCATAACTGTTGACGTTGATCCTTTTGATTTTTGCTCTTATTTGCCACTTCATCTTTTTTTAGTGGAATTACTCAATATTTTTATCAGAGGTTTTCAGATGTATAAGGAAGACATTAAATCAGCAAGTAATTTATTTGTAATAGTGATACTTTCTCATCTAAGTTGTTTTTGATTCTGTCTCATTTCTCAGAGTACAGTTACCCTATATTATTGGAAACTTACACATCCAGAAGCTAGCTGGATACTTCCTAGTCAGGCACCAGTATGCATTTACTCTGGCTTGGGATGGTGTGTCTGCAGTGTATATCAAAATGGCACCAGAGTACCTGGGCAAAACACATGGACTGTGTGGAAACAATAATGCTATCCTGCAAGATGATCTTGAAACTAGTTATGGTGAGTATTTAAAATACTTCCTCTTGTGTTAGTATAGTTTTTTTTTTTTTAGGTGAACTAAATGTTACTTTGCTTAGTTTTTAATTGTAATGCTAATTGAATATAAGACAGGCAACTTTTCAAGTGGAAAATATGATATGGAAATACTTCTGGTAGATGATATTGTTAGTGAAGAGGGACAATTTCAATATAGATGGGGCTCTGAGGAGGAAGATCTTTAAAAAGTATGACAAAAAGCTGTCTTACTCTGTTACTTAAATGGTATTTGTACTTCAGTTTCCTAGGACTTGAAAAGTAACATATACTTTTAAATGTTCACTGCCCTATTAGCAATTTTATATAGGAGCCTATGGAAGCTTGAGGTATTGCTATTGGAAATAAATATGTAATTTTAATTAGTAAATCAAATTGATGAAGACTGCCAAGTCTCGTTCGATCTGGCACTTTGCTTATGCTAAAACTTTCAGAAGTGACCAGTGATCCTTGCATACCAACTTCAGATACTTCTAATAGTTTTGGCTTTCAATAAATACCAAATGAAGACCTCTATATAATAAAAAGAACTAGGGGAAAAACCAGGCCCCTTGAAAGATATCTCAAGCTAGGTGATAAAAACTTTTGGAAATCATTGCTTTGGGCTATTTAACTCTTTGCTCCTCCTCTTTAAAATTAGGGTATTTCTGTAGAGTACTGCTTCAAAGCTCAGAGTACAATATGTAGTAGGCTTTCTCTGTTGTTTGTGTGCCACTCAATTTTAGAAAGCATCAGCCCTGCACTAATATCAGCTCTTTCCCCCATTGAATAGTTTGCTCACTAAATCAAAATGCTTAAAATAATAGAAAGATCAATAGCTCATTGTCATCATTGCCTTCAGAGACTTTCCTCTACCATCTCACCTTTCTCACGATCTCAGTCGCATAAAGGTGTGATTGTAGCCCAAGTCGATAGGCTGCTTTATCCAATCAGCTTGGGGAGCAGTAGTAATAAAGATATGCAAGATATACATTCATGGGTAATCCAAGTAGTAATCAATGTCACCGCTTGTCTATGATGGATAATACCTTTCTTAGCTAGTTTAAAGCTAGTGTGGACATTTCTACTTCTGTGAAAAAAATCACACCTTTACTTGGTTAATGTATACCATCATTTTGTACCCTTGCAGTGACTCGAACACCTCATTTTTCTTGGGTTTTAGACTCTCTCTTGGGAGTTTCATATAAAGTAACAGCATAGACCTATGTTTATACAGTTTATTACAGCTTTTCTTTCCTTTCTTCCATTGAAGGACTGTGGCAGGCACAGTCCTGCTCCCTAAAGTCCTTCCTTGCCATTTCGCATGAGTAAGCTTCTTTCTGCCATTCTAAAGCCTTCCTACTATAGTCCCTTTTAAAAGTATTTTTGTTTCTGAAAAGGACCAGATTGTCTTCAGACTAACAGTTGATTCATTTAGTTGCAGGAAGGGTTTTGCACTCTGTTTAATGTGATATTTTGACTGAGATGTTTCCCTGGGAAATCCTATGGAAACATTGTTCTTCCAAGTCACTGTGTGGTTCTGTGTGTCTTGTTTAGGAAAACTGACAGATGATGTAACAGAATTTGTAGAGAGTTGGCAGGAAAATCCTCCAGAAGGAACACCCAATTGGGATAAATCTCTGCTCAATGAACCACCCTGCCTGACACAAAGCCATGAATCTCTACAGGTTTGGATTAACACAAAAGGATTATTACAATAGTTGGTGATTCTAATTAGAGTGAGAATTTGACTTAATGCTTTGAAGGAGACTGGAAATACTCTCGGCTCTTCTTTGGAGAGGTGTATTAAAGTGGTTGCTGCAGCAGAGCTTCCCTTGTCTCCTCCTTTTCACCCCATTTTTCTTCTGTATGAGTTCATAATTTAATTCTTGATCTTTTCAAATGTTGTATTGTCTGCATAGCAGCCAATAGAAGTGTTTGAATCTGGGGCTAAATGAGTGAAAAGCTCTCAAGTAGAGGTGCATTCTAGAGCTGGTTCCCATTCCTTCCCTTAGGAAAGAGAGAAAGAAGCAGGCAGGGAAAACCAGAATGAGAGCACAGTTAACTTGCCAGTGTTTAAAAAAATGAATTATTGTTACTTTTGTCCATCACACTGAAGTAGTGTTTCCTTTTAAGTATTATTTCCAAGTTACAACCCTGAAATGAAGTGCTTTGAAACTAAAGCTGATGTCAGGCATGTTTTATTTCTGTTGCCTTTTTGCTGTGTAATTTAACTAAAATGAAGAGTATTTCAGGTCATCTGGGCTTAGCTGCAACATGGTCTATGCCTTTCTTGGGGAAGGAATATGTTTTACTACCATTGGTATGACCTTGGATAAAAGATTCAATGTTATGAATGCTCTGGCATGGAGAGCAGTATGTTGCTAGCCATTGCTTCTAGTTGATGAGAGGAAATTAATTCCTAGTCACAGACCGAGATGTCTGTTTTGATTTTTTTTTTTTTTTTTTAGTATTCTATTCTGCTTAGGTTTATTTTTGAAAACTTTCTCTTCACAACAGCTATCTTATTCATTTCAGAGGGCATACATTCTGTGTAACGTCCTGTCACATCCCCCATTTGAACAATGTCATGAATATGTGAGTCCTGTTCCTTTTATGGCAAGCTGCACCAATGATCTTTGCATGTAAGTGAATGTTTTTGGGTAATTCCAAAGCTGTTACAAAAAACATCATCCTTCTATCATGAGAATGAATTGTAAATGTTAACAGAACTAATATGTGTCATCTTCTGCATATCAGTTTTAAACATTGTTTTATTATCTTGCTTTTCTCACTTATTCTACTTTACTGCCAGAAATTTCTGTGGAGTTGTTCCTGTTTTCTTTGGTATAAGGATGGCCAAAATCAGGCCCAGATATTTTCATAATTTGTTAGTGTACCTTCCCTTGAATATGGCATCTGTTTTGATTCTGAGTGTGCAACATTGTTAGTATTTCTAACCTTAATGAAAAGTAATAGCGAATAGGTCAGTTTGGCATCCACAAGCCATATGTTAATCCAGTGAAAAGAGGAATTTGATTACTATTTGAATTTATGCTATCGTTTCACAACCTGCTATGCTCCTTGTCCAAGCAGTTTTGACAAGTTAAATTAACAGGCAGGACAGGAGAAGATAATTTCCATTTCTTACACCATGGTGACTCACTGGTGGAAATCTTATGCTTTCTTGTTATGAGTTTCCTGAAGGTCGTTATTCCTTTTGTAAAATTCAAGACCTTTATTCAAGTCTGTTTATACTGCTATATCTCTGGCTTTTATGGATTTATTCAGGAAATTAGCATCAGGTCTCAAATATATTGATCACTTCTCTTCAAACGTGGCAGAATGTCTTACTCATTTAAGACTTTTAACCTAGCCAAGCAACATAGTATGTTAGAACATTGTTAAAGTAGATTCAAACAACATGGTTGCATGCAATGCAGGCGCACTCAGAAGTTATGATTGCGTGTTTGAATGTAGGTATAAAATAATATGTCAATTTTTATTTGTGCAAGGTCAGCAGTTGATAATGCAACTTGGTGTCGAGCACTAACTGAATATGCCAGAGCATGTGCCCAAGCAGGAAAGCCACTTCATGGATGGCGAATGCACTTTCAGCAGTGTGGTATGCAGATGCTTTTGTACTTGGAAGTACTGCTTAGTAGTTGTATTTTGAAAAGAGTGCTCTTCATACTTTTACTTCTTTGTCCTTCCTCTGATTTTGAACTCATAAAGTTCTCAATGAAAGCATAACTATAGACTCACTTCAAGGCTACATAAATGCAATGGAATTTTTTGTATGTGTAATTTGTACTGAATGTATTTAAAGCACTAAGCTTATTAGAATGTGTTTTAAGAACCTTCTTACTAAAACATCAGAGATTCTTTTAGATGATTAACCATTTGTTCTTTCATAGAGCTAGTCTTTCAAATATTGTCAAAAGTTTTCATGGCTTTCTGATACATAAAATGTGTGTCATGAGTGTTAAAAATAAATTTGAGTTACATTTGCATAAGTCTTTATCTTAGAAGTCAGATTAAGTTTGAAAGAGATCATCTAATTTGTCTGCCTGTCTGGAACACAGGACCAAAACTGCTTTGTCGTTTGTGACAGAAGATTTTCCCCATGTTTCCGAAAATGTTTATTAATGGATGTTCTACCACTTCCTGTACTGCTTTGAGTATCTTAACTAGCTCTGCTGTGAGAAAGTTTCCCTAAATCTCCCCTGGTGTAATTGAAGATGATTCCTTCTCAGTGTGCATTCAATGGACAGAATATGAATATACGTGTATTGTGTGTGTTTGTGTGTGTTATGAAAGGCATTGTTTCATTGTTCTAGACAACAGATACTCAATTGACTTACCAAAAAGTAAATACCTGAAAGAAATGTGTGCTATCTATTTAAGCCCTGAGGCAGTAGCAGAATACTTCTTCATTTCTCTACCTGTTTCTACTTTTTAGTGATAACCTGTGCTGAACCCTTGATCTACAGTGAATGCATCAACTGTTGCCCTGTTTCATGTCATCAACAATCACAGTGCATTGACAGTGAGCTTCCCTGCATTGATGGATGCTACTGTCCAGATGGTAAGTTTTGCTTCTCAAATACGTATTATTTGATTCCATATAACTTTCAGATTGTTCTCCCCCAAGTTTATACTTATATGGCCTGGCTAGATTAAGGCATTCACAGGAGCTCTTTGTAAATGCGGTGCCAACAGAGTGTGGGTGACCTCGTTTTCCTTGTAACAGACAAGAGCCTTTTCTTCCCTCTAACAAGTGGGAATAGGTTTCAGTACAGATCTACATTCTAGCTGTGGAGCTCCACAATTTGAGTGAAAAAAGGGGTTTACTCTGTTGTTGACAGGGCAGCCATTCCAATTCTGGTGGTTGCTGCTCCCTTTTTTTAGGGGTGGGGAGGGTGTTTTGGTGGGTTGCTTTGTTGGTTTTTTTTTGGGGGGGTTGTATTTTTTGCTGAAGAATGCCTGCAAGGTCAGGTGCTTAGGAGAGCTCAAAAACACGACATGACTAAAACTCATTCATGTGGCCAGAAACAGAGTTTGATACTGAGATTCTTGCACTGTTGTATGGCTCTGGCAAGTGAGGTATTTACCCATGTGGCCTACAGCAAAACTTTACCCTTAGTATCAAAATATACTTTGGTGTCCAGTTTTCCCCTTGTTATTGGCGTCTCTTGGGTACATAATTTTATCTAAAGGAGGACAGAGAAAGTTATGCCATTGATCTTCAAGTTGTGCCTCTTATGCGTACCCTGATGACTTGTAAGTATAATCATCTTCGTCATACGTTTTATCTTTTATGGGCTAGTAAAGTCTTCTAGCTTCTGGCTCTTTAATAATGGAATAATTAAAAACAAACAAACAAAAAAACCAAAACAAAACCAAAGCAAAAAACCATTATAGTAAAATAAGGACCAAATAGTGCCTTAAAACGTGGAGGCAAAGATTTGTAGAGGTGTCAAAAAGAAGCCAAAGGTACTCAAAGCGGTATGGTTTGGTGTTTGTGTGTTTAGTTTTGTTTTTTTATGTGGGTGGTTTCCTCTGCCCTCTCCCCCAATATTAAATGCTTGTTATTCATACTATTGTTAGTGTATCTTAAGCAATTTAGGGACTTAGTCCATGCAATATAATATATTTAATATACTTCAAATGCACGCTTTTTCTGCAAAAATGACTACCAAATAATCTAGAGTTTTATTATCATGTATGACCATTTGTTGTTCTTAGGTATACTTGTCAGTGCTCCATCAGCCATTTGTACAGATATTTCACTTTTTTCTTGTTGTTTTATTTCTTCTAGGCTTAGTTTATGAAAATGAATTGTGTGTCAAGCCTATGGACTGTCCTTGTGACTACCATGGAAGTTTCTTTGAAATTGGCTCAGTGGTTTATGAGGAATGTAATAACTGGTTAGTAATTTTTCTTTTTACACTGTGGACTTAATCCTTTAATGGTCATGAGAGACAACTTCTTTAAGGCCTATTTCAGTTAAAAGTTGAATAAAGTCAGTAAGTCCTCACTGTTTCTACATACAAAACCTGTTGTTCCATATATGTTTTGCAATGAAGGGAAAGATAGAAGAAGCTATAGAGCTATTAATGTGTAAGAAGAGCAAATGACAGATATCGCAGAGAATAGTGTAATGTTTAGTACTCTCTTCACCTTCAACTCTGCCTCAAACTAAAGGAATTTAGAATTCAAAATCTTAACAGGAGAATGGCTTTACTTCGTCTCCTTTGTGTTGTTTCACTTGGACACAAAGAGCCTAATATCATTATGACACTAAGCTGCTGTTCTGGGAATTTCTAAGTTAATTTTATACATTGGAAAGAATAGTTTGTAGAAGAGATAATGCCTTTTATTGGATCAACTTAATTGAAAACGGGTGAGCTTGCAGATACGCAACTTTTTTTTCCACAACAGTTCTATTTTTTGAAGTAATAAGATTCAAATCGCTCATGTTTATTCTTCTCAATTTTAATCATACTTAACTTTTATACTGGTTATCAAGGAGCTAAAAAGAAAAGTGTTACTGGATGCATGGATGAAATTTCACCTGATCATATCCTGATGACAAGCTCTTGCCACAGCTTCTAGGCATTCTAGTGACTGTGATAGCTATGTTGTACTCTTCTGTGAGACTCAAGACACTTGGTACTCATTTCATAGAGAAGGAATCCAGGAAGAACAACTGAGGGACAGCCATATATACTTCACCAAGAAAAAAAAAGTATGAAACCTTTTTGTTTTTATTTCAGCACTTGCATTGGAGGAAAGTGGATTTGTACAAATCTTACATGTCCAGGTATGTGAAAGTCTTGAATACTTAACTTTTTTAAGAACTGAATGTTTACTTGGGGTAAAAGATTACTGTTAGAACTTAATGTGATATTTCAGGATATAATTTATATTTTTATTTCTATCTACATATAAATGCATCTACACTCACAGCGGATTAAATATTAAAATGGTCTGAATAGGAGCCATCTGCCTTTCAGCTTAGCGCAGTAATGTGTGTGTCTCTATATCACTACAATGTCTGGTAGATGGCACTACCTGGTCATTCTTGTCATTCAACTAAAGTTTCCTCTGCAGTCTTCACTTGACATACTTATGGCAAGATTACTCCCCCTGCCCAGTATTGCTGGCTAGTGATACAGTATCTAGGTATTGTACAAATATTGGCTAATTACTTTCACAACACACCTGTGGAATGAGGGGTGTTTTTCTCACTTCAGAGATAGGCAGCTAAACTACAGAGATTAAGGTCAAAAGGATTTTGCATGTTAAAGGCACCCATAGCCTCATGGTTCTTATAGCTGCCAACAGATTCAAGCACTAGTCTCAGAGTTATCAGTTAACTGTGGGAGTGCTTAATGTTCCTGCAAAATCAGTCTTTAGAGCCACAAATCAAATACTCAGAATGTAAGGATCACACATATTATTGCCTCCTTCTGGGGGAAGAATTCTTTAGGTATCCTGGCCTGGCATCAGGTAGGAACTCCATAACAAAAGCAAGGATAAGGTTCAGTTCCTAGCTGTGTTCCTAGTACCTGGTATGTATATGAATACAATTTTATAAATTATAGCATGTATCAGAGTGTATGAACTCTACAGCAGTAATAACTGTTGCAAGTACACTGTCTTTGCTATGTACTTTAATGCATTATTTATGTTTGTCAGCTGAATGCTCAGTTTCAGGAGACATTCATTTCATGACCTTTGATGGGCGCAAATACACTTTCCAAGCTACCTGCCAATATATTCTAGCAAAAAGCCGTACGTCTGGAGCGTTTACCATAACCTTGCAAAATGCTCCTTGTGGACAGGTAAGGCTTAAACCTTATTGTAATGTTTATATCCTGAAGGGTTTATTAATTGGGGTGGGGGTGGGGTAAAAATGGAAAAAAAAAAAAGCTACCTGCAACTGAGTATATTAAAATTAATCAGTAGCAACGATTTTCCTTAATGCTGAAATAGTTGAACAACAAAAGTGCAGAGGAAATCTGTATATTAATTCTCATGTTTGCTTGTGATAAATAGAAAAGATTATGCTAGCGTTCTGATTCAGTGTTCACTGAGGTCATTCAGTAGCATATGGTGGTTCATGCAGCAAACTCTGGATGATGACTTGTTTTCTTTAGTTTTCTGAGTACATCTTTGTGGATTTGCAGCCAGCACAACATAAGCCTACTGCTTATTGTTGCTTGAAGGAAGAATGACTTTTTGTGTGCCTTGAATAATTTCTTTCGGCTTTGTTCTTGCAGCTTGTAGATCACTTTTACTTACATTGATATGAAAAACTTTGAATAGCTTTTGGGACAGCTCTCTGGGATTTGGGTATATATATATGCGTCTGTGTTACTGTTGTTAAGTTGGTATCCTGTACGGTTGATTTCAGCCAAACGTGCATGTGCATATATAATACTAATACTAAGGGTGCTCCTACTTTATATTTGAAAGAATACAGAAGACAACAAATATTTAATCTGCTTTATGTCCAAGACCCATTCTCTTTCCTTTGTTGTGTATGTGGATTTCTGAGCATGTATTATAACATTGTACGTGTGAGGTATGGAACACTGGTAAGATTTTCACTACAGCATTTCATTCTTATTACAGTCCTGATACGTCTTGTAATTTTGAGGAAGTTAAGGCAAGTTAGAATACATCTTAAACATACATACGTGGTGTGAAAAATGTGGTTGACTGAGTTGAGCTGTTTTCTGGAGTTGGGCTTTTCTCACTGATTTTGAGTTCTATGTATGCCCCTAAGGGCAGGATTTGGCCCACGTTTGTCTTAGGGTCATAATGCTGCTGTGGATGCCTACTTACTAAGCTGCTGGACTTGCTGTAGGAGCAAGATGTTAAACTTTTTGTGTCTTGGCCAGATGTATGTTCTGGCTCCAATGGTCTTGTGTAATGATTTTTGCCTAGGAGCAACTGCATGGATATTTGAAATGTCTGTAGACTTAAATGTGACTTTTTGCTCTATTTCTAGACCGTGTACTATATGTTAGGCGCAAATTTTAGTTCTTGGCATGATGAGCTTCCATGTTGTTTCAGTTACGTACTTTGCATAAAATCAGATTTAGCAGCATTACTTTTTTTTACTGCTGTGAAGGTAACTACTTACAGTTCATTATAGTGGTTTTCTTTTGTGTTCTAAATAAATGTGTGATTCTAGAAGTCCTTTTACACTAATGATTGCATTCATTTTTCTCTACAGCTTATATCATTTGTGCACTTGAGCTTTCCTTGGGAAGAAAAATGGATATATAAGTTGTCATGCCACACTTTCTAAAGGCATATTTCAGTAACGTCTTTTGGTCCTTGTGCACTAAAATCTACTTCTCTGTATGACAGAGAAGACCTTTAAGCAGAAGGAAGCCATATTAAAGCAGCATTGACAAGTTTATTATAATAGAAATGATTTATTTGCAATACAGGTAAGAGATGGGAGACTGAATGCATGGAGTCCCCCTCTCATCTCAGTCGTAAAAGCTGAGAGGTAAGAAAAATAGCTTAACTGGATAGAGACCAAATATATTTTCCAATTGGATGATCCACGAGTAAATGTCCCAGTATCTCTTACATGGTTCCTAGGAGAAATGTATCAGGACATCAGGTGAGGTATGTAACAGGGCATAGAAGCTACTAGTGTTGAAAAAGTGGATTCCTGTGTTGTGAATACAACTGCTTTATTATGCTCTAATAGCCTCTAGCTCCTTGAGGTAGAAGAGTTGCAGTGGGGGCTGTGAAATGAGATCTTGGTGAGGACATGCACATTAAAAAAAACTTCTAGGCTTTAACCCCTGTAAATCATCCTTTGGGTTGGGAAGAACCTGGTGATCCTGCTACTATTTCCTGTTTACAGGAAGACTGAGACTGTTTCAAGATGCAGTATATCTGATTGTTGCTACAATTTGTGCATATTTGACTTATTAAAATTGGAATAAGCTTAGCTGGCTTCATTCTGTGCTAACCTTGGGATCCTGAGGAGTTGATTAAGTCAGTATCATAATCTAGGGAAAAAAAAAAAATAGAAGAGCTGTGAAAGAAAACATAAACATGGGCATTCAACATAGGCATAAATCTGTTCAGTCGGCATGATATTCTCAGAACTTCGCAGAGTCCAAGAAGCTTGAGAAAGGTGGTTGTATATTGAAGCTGTGCCCTGTATGTATGGTTGAAAGTAAGCAAGGGGATCCCAAAGAAACACTCTAGGCAACTTTTTTTATAAAGTGAAAGTTGAGGCATGATTGACTTCTTGCAGAAGCCCGCAGTGAGGTACCTTTCAACCTGACCTGTTGAAAAGCCCATCAATGGACAACAGAGGTCTGAAGCAAATATCTGCTACAGTAATGCACAGGATATGTATTATGAGTCTCATTCTCTCTTGTGTTGCACAACACTTATCTCTGTTCAAAACACAGAAGTGTGCCTTTCTGTTTAGTTGTTACGGTGATCCTTTTGTTGGGGAAAAGTGATAACCAAATTAGTTAGCTTTCTGCAGCATTTGTGAGATTGCAAAGAGCCTTGCAGTAATTCTTCCATCTTCTTCACCCTGACTTAAGGACTTTGCTTAATGTGTCTCTATGTCCAAGTGGTTTGTAAGTGGAAAAAAAAAAAACCAAACCAGATTCTCTTGGCTTTTACTACATGTTGGGCTTCATATTTCACCTAGCCTTTAACAAAGCTAGCCTGATCAGTCCTTAATAGGTATAGACTTTTACAGAGGTTTGAGTGAAGCATTCTGGACATTAACAGCCAGGTGGGTTATCAGAGGCTTATGTGGTATGTTCCAGGGCTAAGTGCTGCTAATTTGATTATCAATGTACAAGTGGTGAGAGGGTAGTGAGAACAGTTTGTGTACTAGAATGCAAGAATGTGGGGCTTCAGTGCAGCTATTCAAGTGTCTAACTATGGACTAGATGGTACCATACTTGGCAGAAGAGCTGCTTTACAGTTCCCTAGGCACCATCCATTACCTTTTTCCCATTTATAAAAATTAATGAATTGAAATGGGAAGCTAAAAGATTTGTAGTACAGAATCTCATGTTTCTTGATGGTTTGAGATTTTGTGTGCTTTTTTTTTTTTTAAAAAAAAACCTTATCAGTCCCATCTCATTCAAGCAGATTAAAAAATGTAGAAAGAAGATACCTGGGGAGATTTTTAGCTCTCTGAATCACAAAGAATCCAGTCATCTAAAGCCTTAGAGCTGGTGACATAAACAGTCATCAGGCAACAAGTTATTCCAAAACGATGTGAAATTTTGTTTAAGCACTTTTTGGAAGGAGAATCAGTCAAGTGATCAGCACAGCTTAACCTTATCTGAGTTTCAGGTGACAACCTCACTGGCTTTGTAGTTTGTATGATGAGAAGGTCTTCTGAATATAGATTTCTCAGACTCTTAGCCCATTGGCAAGTTCTTCAAAGTCAAATATATGTTTACAGTGAGTAATACAATGCTGGTGGTGGTGGTGGGGTTTCTTTTTTTTTTTTTTTTTTTGTGTCTAGTGAGGGAAATGGCCATTTCTATGAAAACACCTGCTGAAAGTTGGCAGGGGCAGTGCTGTGAAAGCAGCAGTTCATTAGAACAGAGAATAATTGTCAGGCAGAATTTCTCCTTTAGTTTCAGTATGAAGGAATAATAAAGCTTTTGTCAATATTGTGAAGTAATGTATATACTATGGAGGGTTGTTCTCTTGGCTCTGGTCTGCTATGCATACCAGCTGGTATTCTTTTATTTTCAGCTTCTTAAAAGGTGGACAAAAATGTCAATTTATAGCCACTTTTGCTGAACGATACACACAGAAACTTAATTTCTCAGTGAAGAGGCAAGACAACAAGATAAGCTAATGAGCATGGCCTCACAATGTAGATATCTCTCTTCACCACGAGTCCAGGAGAGCTGGTTGAGCTGATGAAATATCTCCAGTTATTTTTATAATTTGCTATCTTTGTTTCGTTTTATCATTTCAACTGTTAGTGAAAGATCACTGTTGCGCTGTTATTTAGAGACAGGGAAATTCTAAATGTAGTTTTTAATCTTTACACACCAATGTGTGTACTTGTGTGTCTATGGTACTTGAAGGACTGACAGATGATCTGCTCTGTGCTAGTTCAGCATCTGTCAAAGCCACATGGTAGTGTTCAGAGATCTTGCAGCTCCAGTAATTGTTTTCAACAGGGAGAGCAACGTTTGCCCTGTATTAGGCAAGTCCCAGTGAAAGTCAGTGAGTTAGGTGAAAGTGTAAGTCTCTGAACTGAACATCCTAAACTGTTTGCACTGTGAATGGCGTTATTCACCATATAATTTTGCTGTTAGTGTAACTGTCCAAAGGTAGGGATATTTTACCTAAAACTTGTTCAGTGCCTCTTGCAGCACTGAGGATGCTTAACATTTTACTATTTCATCATCAGTTATGCCTTCACTGTAGGCAGTGGGACTGGAACGTTTCTGGACTGCAGCTCAGGGCCAGATCCAATCAATGAGAAATTCCCTGCAGTGAGACCTAGGCTGCTCTTAGACCAAGTGATTTCAGACATGTCTGTGTATGTTTTGGTATATAAGACATTATGAGACATTGAAGATGCATAATCAAGTTGAGAGTAAAATGAACAAATAGTGTGCCAAAAGTGACTGGACCCAATTTTTGTCGTTGTTCTTGAGTACCTTTTAAATGGTTACTAGGTCTTGCAGCGAAGGAGGCTGAACAGAAGAAACAGCAGTTGGGTGCTTCGCCCTTTCCTCAGTAGATGGCAAGGAATAGACAGTCTCTTAACTTTATCCAGCCACACTAAGCCAACGTAAATAAGCTGATGTCTCAGAAGCTATAGTAAAGAGATTTGAGTATAGCAGGAGTGGCAGAAACTTAATTCCTTCCTAGGGCAAAAAGAAAGAAGGTGGACTGTGATTCTGATGTCTTTCAGCATGTAGCAAGGTAAATTACAGGATGCTGACATGGTAAAGTTCAAGTCATCTCTTGATCCATCTCTGTGCCTGATTCTCTGTGATAGAATATTTTTCTTTTTAAAAAATTCAGCAGTGACCAAATTCATTCTGTTAAGAAAAACATGGTAGTCTTCTGTGATTAATAAGCATG